CTAGCCTGCATCCATGGTGCTACCGTGCTTTTGCCGTCCGGCCTACACGGTAGCACCATGGCATGAACTGGAACCACCACCGCATGTCGGGCAGCTAACCTGCATGCATGGTGCTACCGTGCTTTGCCGTCCGGCCTACACGGTAGCACCATGGCAGGGACTGGAACCACCACCGCATGTCCGGCGCGGCGCGTAAGTTCATGGTGTTACCACTCCACCCCTGGGCCATCTGGTACCACCGCGGCAGGATGAGCCACGCATCCTGGAACTACCAGGCTCAGATCCCGCGAGGCTGCCAACCATGGTAGCACCATGCCAGAGGCTACGCAATGTCGCGACACGATGTTATGGCATGCGTACAGTCCCGGCATCACAAGCAATCATGGTGAACAGAGGAGACCACCGAGGCATGCCGCAAATGCGACAGTTCATTCGCGTAACAACGTCGTCCTGTGTTTCTTGATGTACTATAATATTTACACAGATGCTCTTTCGTTGACGGGACTTCGGAATCCGACCTCACCCAATCCCTAGCGGCGATCAATCCCGGAGTAGTGCCCCTGCTCTTTGGCCGCGATCCTTCAACTCCCAATGTGTTGCCCGCTTCGTGCTTCCGTCGTTTCGGCTGACAATGATTGAGCAACAGGTCAATAGATTCACAAACACCGGAGGTACAGACCTGACGTCCTGCATCGATGTCCTCCAGCCCACCGCGTGCGCCTTCCTCAAGATGAGTCACGGTTGGAATATTTCCACTGTTGTTTTGCCGCGATCGCCTAACTTGCGACATTTTGCTTGCTTCGCGGTTCCGACATCCAGACTGATAGCGATCAACCAATAATCTCATGAATACATGCTCGTTAAGTTCATATACGCCAGAGATACGTACCTGACGTCTGGATTCAACACCCTGCAGCCCACCGAGTGCACCTCCTCCCCCTCTCGAAAGGTGGTTGACGGGCTGACGGTCCGTTAGATTGCGCAGGCTGAGCCCGTTCGTAACCTCATACCTGATGATATCCGCTTCCAGTCTGAGCAATGATGTGATGACCACGACTGTCGGTGGAGGCAGCGCCGGTAGGAGCAGGAGCAGTCATGGGCTCATCACCATGCAGAACCGACCAGCCACGAAGTTTCTGAGTGGTCTTCGCGCGCTTTTGCATCTCCATATTGCGAGCCCTGCTAGCGAGCAAGGTTGCATCCTCGCCGTGGTCTTGGACGGCGTTCGGGACTTCGTTAGCGCGGTTCTGTGCTGGCGACACGTCCTGTCATCCGAAGTCCCCGGTTCCATCGCTTCCACGACTCTGGTCCATCTTCGTACAAGCATCAGCGAGGAAGATGAGCGAAAGGAAGAATGTACTCAACGGCCTCGCCGTCCGGTACCCTAGCAGCTTCGCCGTCCTCTGATTGGCCATATACGGCATCCTCTGGCCGACCTTCCGGTCCGTCGTCTGGTTGTCTGTTTGAGCCGTCCTCCGATGGGCCAGCTTGGACATCAGAATCGGGGTGACGCTCGTTGTTGTTGCTGTCTTTGTCGTAGTCGTCCACCCGGTGTCCGTCATCGCTAACTTAGAATATCCTTGATCAGCGTAGCATCTACTTGCACTGACTCACTTGTTGACTCACTAGATAAGTACTTAAAACGTGCATTCGCGTAGATCGAGCTCTCGGAGCTCCCGTGTGTAACTTAGGGAGTAATCGATTTATTCTATTATATGCTTAGTTATATGAAGCATCCTTAGATTAGTTGAATACTCACGGGATTAACGGTCGTCTCACTTAAACTGAGGGCCTCGCCGATTGATCAAGAACCTTACTCTTATCTTACCGGTAATGCACTTGTATTATCTATCTATCTATCTACCGCTACCCTTACAGTCATTGTTGTCAATCGTGTAGAGGTCGAGGCAGCCGATCTCGATGTTGTTGACACCCCCGCCCATTTCTTTCACGATTTGTCGATACCAGACCTTGGTCTGGTTCAGGCAATGCGTGACGGCCTGCTTGTTCCCATCGTAAAGAATGGTGGATTCGTTATATGCTGCGTCGTAAGCATCACATTGATCGTCGTCGTCGTCGTCCGTCATGTAGAGGTGGTTATCCGCGCTGTTCATTCCAGTCTGTCCTCATACGGCAGCCGTGTCTTCCTCCAGAAAGACAGGTCGACTCTCCGAGAATCGACGTAGTGGCTTGATCCGTCTTATCATCCACGCCGTGGCCGCTTGGTGGGAGACGATATGTCGTGCTCATAGTCGGATAACGTCTCGGATCTCGGAGGTGATCCATGCGCAAGTTCGGGCGTGAACAGATTTTGACGGAGACCGCTGCTTCGTGCCAACATCGGCGTTGAGGGACCCGCTGATGAAGGCTGGAGGGATATCCATCGACGGCTTGGTGAATCAGAGATGAGCGACGGTGTCAGTGGCACCATGTCCCTCCAAGTCTCGCCAGCTGTTTCATCTACATTCAAATGCAGATCCTCGACTGTCTCACACAGCGCAGCAAGCTCCGCGACGTCGGCCATGTCTTCCTCCAAAATGACGGGGTGACCTTTTGTATCGACGTAGTCGTCCGGATCGTAGATGTCGTTGTGGTCCATGTATTCCGCTGGTCCCGGCTGCGGCGCAGAGTCGGAAAGCGCGCAGGACATAGCCGCACGCATATCCTCCTCGGTCGGCCCCCAAGAATCCCCCAAGTCGACCAATGCAGGTATTCCTGCTACATCCCTTCGCCACGTCACCGCCAACGACAAAAGCTCCTCTCGATGTACCGTTAGCTGATGCACTAGGCCACGATTGACGCCTGTCCACAGGTCAATATAGGATCTCACGGGAAGCAGTGGACGTACCAGGTTGAATGAGAGCGAAGTTCACGGCCGCCCATTCGTCTCGCAGCCAACACTGCATTGTCTCTCGCTCTCTTGATATGCGAGCTGCTTCCTCTTTGCACCTGTCGGCTTCGAGCATATGCCGGATGCCTTCTTTGACCTTCTCATCAGCAAGCCATTTCGGTGGCGTGACGCCTTCCCATTCCTGATCAATGAGACCCGTGTCCTGCCAGATGCTGTCGTCTACGTCGAGACTCCAGAGCGCCTCCATGTTGATCGGTGTGGGAGGCACCGCTCTCGTCGGCGCTTGTTTCTTCCGGATGAGCTCCGCCATTTCCTCGCAGAGCTTGTTATATTTGCGAGCTTGGCTTTGAATTCCTGGCTCCCGCCTATGAACCGCGAGCTTTGCATGATCGGCAAGCTTTTTGTCTGCCAAAATAGTGATCATCAGTCCACGGCCGTTTCAGAATCGGCATCAACTCACTTGACGAATGTGACCTGAAGGACCTCTCTACCTGGGTTAACTCGAACTTACGCCGGCACAAAGAATTTCGTATCCGAGTTTTGAGGGCTAACGCATTCATACGATGCGTCAGATATTTGCTGTCTCGAAGTGATTCGAGCTTTTGGCGTGATCGAAGGTCCAGCGCTGCCTCTAGCACTTGCTTCTTCCGTGTTGCTTGTTTCCTGTCCTCGATTAGGTCCTCACGGTACGATATCAAATCGGTGTTGCCTCGCCCATCCATGATCTTCCGCTCAATGTCGGCTATGGTGCTCTCAAATATGCGCAGCTGTTCTTGAAGGAGCAAGATCGACTCTATCGCTTTTGCCCCAGCATCTTTGGATTGCCCTAACTTGTGCATCAGCAACACGAAACAACACGGCACAAAGGGCTTGACCAAAACGTACGTGGGTGTGGCCGCTGTCCCGCCCCTAAAGTGAATAGGTGCGGAACTGCTCAAATACCTCCAGTTTAAATTAATTCAGTAGCTCGCATTTCAGTTAGTAGTATATATATATATATTTCAAGTAGAATAGACTAAACATGTACCTTAAAACTAGCCCAGGAAAGTCTGACCATATCAGGAAAGGATTACCAAGCAGCACCCAATCTTGGTCAGCATATGACAAACCATGACTCAGCTGAGTCAGAAGCTGACTCAGCACTGCTAAGATGACTAATATGACTCAGAAAGCTGGCCTAGCTAAGGAGTATAAAATGTAGCCGAATCGGCATGAATGAGCAATCAATCAGTTCCACTCTAATCGCGCCCGGCAGTCGTCTGCCGAACCCTCTCTGTCAGGCCTCGAGTGCCTGGACAGCTCCTCTATCGACTCTACACAGCCGCCGTAGGCTGTTCGAATTCGTTTCTCTCGCTCTACCGTCTTCGCGACCAAAGG